GTGGTCCAAGCAGTGAATGGAATTTAGGGGAGAAACAGAGAAATTGGAGGCCTTGAGGAGCCCTTCAGTTACAATGGTTTAGTTGTACCCGACAAACACGGATTTATTAAAATACTGGTGTCCAGACTTAACACAAGAAACCTAAAAACAGCTTCTCCCATTTATTTGAGCCCCCACTCTATTACGTGTTTTTTTTAAAAATTCATTAAGGGGCTGGAGGGACCGCTCAGCGGTTAAGAGAACTTTCTGATCTTGGAGAGGACTCCCAAGATCGGTTGGGTTCCCAGCCTCCCACATCAGGCAACTTACAATCGCCTGTCATGCCAGCTCCGAGAGATCCCGCACCTCTGTGCACTCAAGTGCACAGACACACTCTGGAGGCAGAGGCAGAAAAATCATCCTTGGCTGCTATAAATCTCCTATGGGCTAGTGTAGGCTATATGAGAACATTGTCTCAAGAAAGAAAAAAACCAGCCAGCCACCAACAATAAATATATACATTAAAAAACAAAACAAAAAAACCCAAACAAACAAACAAACAAAAAAACACTTTACCAACTGACCTATCTCCCTCAGTGCCTCCTTTTAATCACGTTTTATTATTTATTTATTTTGGTTTTTTGAGACAGGGTTTCTCTGTGTATTCCCGGCTGGCCTCGAACTCAGAGATCCACCAGCCTTTGCCTCCTGAGTGCTGGGATTAAAGGTGTGCGCCACCACCACCGCCGCCCGCACATTCTATTTTTTTATAGTGTGGGTATGTGTTCAAGGTAGAGCATGTAGAAGAGCACACGCGGAGGGGAGAGGAAGCCTGAGAAGTCAGTGTGGTACCTTGCACCATATGTGGGACGTGAACTCAGGGTCATCTCAGGAGGCCCCCACCTCCATCCCATCCCACTCTGTTGACAGTCTCAATATGTAGCCCAAGCTGGCCTGGAGCTTGCTATGTAGCTCAGTCTTGTGATTCATTCACCTTAGACTCCTGAGGACTGGGACGACAGGGCAGGAAATGCGGTCTGGTATTGCTCCTCCCTGGAATGCTACTTCACTTGATGTCCCCAAGTCACTCAGACCCCTTGCTCACACGTCACCTTCACCTTTTCTTTTCTTTCTTTCTTAGCGCTGGCTGTCCTGGAACTCACTCTGTAGCCCAGGCTGGCCTCAAACTCACAGAGATCCACCTGCCTCTGCCTCCCCAGTGCTGAGATTAAAAATGTGTGCTATAATGTCTGGCTAGTTTCTTTTTCTTTCTAATTAATTGTTTTATGTGTAATAGTGTTCTGCTGCATGCATGTTATGTTATGTTTGGTGCCCTTGGAGGTCAGAAGAAGCTTTGGAGGGCTGTGGGCCACTATATGGTGCTGGAAACCAAACCCAGATCGTCTGTGAGAGCAACAGTGCTCTCAACCACTGAGCCATCGCTTCAGCCCCTTTCCTTTTTAAATTACATTTCGTTTCTTTATTAGCTGCCTGGGCATGCGCTGTGCGTGTCAGAGAACAACTTACAGGAGTTTCTTTCCTTCCACTGTGCAGATCCTGGGACTGAACCCAGGGGTTCTGGGCGTGGTGAGTATGTGTACATGCTGAGCCATCCTGTCAGCTCATAGATACCATCTTCTAAATGAGGCTTTCTCTAACTCTAACCTCCTCCAAGTTCCCATTAAAACACACACACACACACACACACACACACACACATGCCACACGCCAGTCAGTGAAGAAACTTGTCTCTTGGTTTGAGATTTCACACAGTTCTTTTTTTTTTTTTTTTTTTTTTTTTTTTTTCTTTTTTTTTGGTTTTTCGAGACAGGGTTTCTCTGTGTAGCATTTCACCTTTCCTGGAACTCACTTGGTAGCCCAGGCTGCCCTCAAACTCACAGAGATCCGCCTGCCTCTGCCTCCTGAGTGCTGGGAATAAGGCATGCGCCACCACTGCCCCGACTGAGATTTCACACAGTTCTTTCTTTTTTTAAATCTTTTTTCCTTCATTTTTATTTATTTATTTATTTTTCTATTATCAGCTTGATACAGTACAAATTCTTATCCTAATAATGAAATGTTTCATTGAGGCTTGCCCAGCGATTGAGAAAAACCAAAACGTATTATAAGCCACAGTCATCCTAGGGTCCTCCCTGCTATGGAGCCTCCCTGGTTCTGTGGGTTGCAATCTGATTGTTCTTTGCTTTATATCTAGAATCCACTTATGAGTGAGTACATACCATGTTTGTCCTTCTGGGTCTGGGTTACCTCACTCAGGATGATATTTTCTAGTTCCATCCATTTGCCTGCAAATTTCATGCTGTCATTGTTTTTCTCTGCTGAGTAGTACTCCATTGTGTATATGCACCACATTTTCTTATCCATTCTTCAGTTGACGGGCATCTAGGTTGTTTCCAGGTTCTCGCTATTACAAATAGTGCTGCTATGAACATAATTGAGCATGTATCTCTGTGGTATGATTGAGCATTCCTTGGGTATATGCCCAAGAGTGGTATGGCTGGGTCTTGAGGTAGATTGTTTCCCAATTTTCTGAGAATTCGCCATACTGATTTCCACAGTGGTTGTACAAGTTTGCATCCCCACCAACAGTGGAGGAATGTTCCCCTTGCTCCACATCCTCTCCAACATTGACTGTCATTAGTGTTTTTGATCATAGCCATTTTGACAGGTGTAAAGTGGTATCTCAGAGTTGTTTTGATTTGCATTTCTCTGATGACTAAGGATGTTGAGCATTTCCTTAAATGCCTTTCAGCCATTTGAGATTCTTGTTTTGAGAATTCTCTGTTTAACTCTTTAGCCCATTTTTTAATTGGATTGTTCAGTATTTTGATGTCTAGTTTCTGGAGTTCTTTATATACTTTGGAGATCAGTCCTCTGTCAGATGTGGGGTTGGTGAAGATCTTTTCCCATTCTGTAGGCTGTCTTTTTGTCTTATTGATCATGTCTTTTGCCCTACAAAAGCTTCTCAGTTTCAAGAGGTCCCATTTATTAGTTGTTGTGCTCAGTGTCTGTGCTGTTGGTGTTTTATTTAGGAAATGGTCTCCGGTGCCAATGCGTTCAAGAGTACTTCCTACTTTCTCTTCTATCAAGTTCAGCGTAATTGGATTTATGTTGAGTATTTGATCCACTTGGACTTGAGTTTTGTGCATGGTGACAGATATGGATCTAATTGTTATCTTTTACATATTGACATACAGTTATGCCAGCACCATTTGTTGAAGATACTTTCTTTTTTCCATTGTATAGTTTTGGCTTCTTTGTCAAAAATCAGGTGTTCATATGTGCGTGGATTAATATCAGGGTCTTCAATTCGATTCCATTGATCCACGTGTCGGTTTTTATACCAATACCAAGCTGTTTTTATATAGTAGAGCTTGAGGTCAGGGATGGTGATGCCTCCAGAGGTTGCTTTATTATACAGGATTCTTTTGGCTATCCTGGGTCTTTCATTTTTCCATATGAAGTTGAGTATTGTTCTTTCCAAGTCTGTGAAAAATTGTGTTGGGATTTTGATGGGGCTTGCATTGAATCTGTAGAATGCTTTTGGTAAGATTGCCATTTTTACTATGTTAATCCTATCTATCCATGAGCTTGGGAGATCCTTCCATTTTCTGATATCTTCTTCAATTTCTTTCTTTAGAGATTTAAAGTTCTTATCAAAAAGTTCCTTCACTTATTTAGTGTTATCCCAAGGTACTTTATATTATTTGTGGCTATTGTAAAGGGTGATGTTTCTCTGATTTCTTTCTCAGCCCTTTTATCATTTGTGTATAGGAGGGCTACTGATTTTTTTTTAGTTGATCTTGTATCCTGCCACTTTACTGAAGGAGTTTATCAGCTGTAGGAGTTCCCTGGTAGAGTTTTGGGGGTCACTTATGTATACTATCATATCATCTACAAATAGTGAAAGTTTGACTTGTTCCTTTCCAATTTGTATCCCCTTGATCTCCTTTTGTTATCTTATTGTTCTAGCTAGAACTTCAAGTAGATTTCCCCATATTGAATAAATATGGGGAGAGTGGACAGCCTTGTCTTGTTCCTGATTTTAATGGAATCGCTTTGCGTTTCTCTCCATTTATTTGATGTTTGCTGTCGGCTTGCTGTAAATTGCTTTTATTATATTTAGGAATGTTCCTTGTATTCCTGATGTCTCTAGGACCTTTATCATGAAGGGGTGTTGGATTTTGTCAAAGGCTTTTTCAGCATCTAATGAGATGATCGCGTGGTTTTTTATTCGTTCAGTTTGTTTATATGGTGGATTACATTGACAGATTTTCGTATGTTGAACCATCCTTGCATCCCTGGGATGAAACCTACTTGGTCATGGTTGATAATTTTTTTGATGTGTTCTTGGATTCAGTTTGCCAATATTTATTTTTATTTTTTTATTTTTCGAGACAGGGTTTCTCTGTGTAGCTTTGCGCCTTTCCTGGAACTCACTTGGTAGCCCAGGCTGGCCTCGAATTCACAAAGATCCACCTGCCTCTGCCTCCCGAGTGCTGGGATTGAAGGCGTGCGCCACCACCGCCTGGCCTTGTCTCAAATCTTTTAAAAAGCTGGACATGAGCAGGAGATGTTTGCACACTCCTTTAATCCCAGCACTCAGGAGGCAGAGGCAGGCGGATCTCTGTGAGTTCGAGGCCAGCCTGGGCTACAGAGTGAGTTCCAGGAAAGGCGCAAAGCTACACAGGGAAACCCTGTCTTGAAAAACAAAAAACAAAACCAAACAAAAAGCTGGGTATGGTAGCTTTCATCTTTAGTGCCAACACTTGAAAGGAAGAAGCAGGCTCGAGGCTAGCCTGATCTACATAGCAAGACCCGGGCCAGTGAGAGCCATAGAGTGAGACACTGTCTCAAACAACCGAGAGTAAAATAAAAACATTGGACTTACGTGTGACTGACACTCTGTGAGAAGTATCGTGTCTAGGTTTGTCAGGTTGACAAAAACTAGCCAGCACAGGCAGCATTCTTGGCGTGGGACAGAATCAAAGCGATGCTCATTTCTGTGCAAACTACCTTTATTCATAAAGGAAACAGTTCCCCGTGTCGTTATTAACCTTAAGCCACACGGGTGTGAAGGCACTTGGTTGGGGAGGGGGGGCAGACATCCTACTGAGGAGCCACGCACCTCACCCGGGCCCCAAGGCTGCTGGGAGGAATGGGGGCCGCTGGGAGGAATCCGGGAGGAAAGGACTCCGAGAGGAATGACGGGGTGCGTCACCCTCCCGGGCTCAGCTGTAACAATACGCGGCTTGCCTGCTGGCGGCAGGAGGCTCTTTGAACCAGATCTGATTTGGCAAGTGTGTGTATGGGGTCTCCTGCCCACAAAGGTCCTCAGCCCCACCTCACCCCAATGCCTAAGACGGCTTCCTAATCGTAAGTCTGGGGCTAGCCCTCCCTCGAGCCTCTGGGGGAACCGAGAACTTCCGGTGCGGGCTGCACCCCCTGGAGATTCGGGCGCAGGTAAACGCAGCAGCTGACCGATCGGGACGGTCCAGGTGGAAGGCAGGCTGGCTTGCACTTTTCTCCTCGACAACCGTCCTTCATTCCTGCTAGATTTTGCTCCTCTGAGACTTCACCCTAGGGAAGAGCTGAGGGGAGGGGGCGGTCAGACCCCAGGAACCCAGCCCTACTTCTCCCAGCCGCAGGAAGAGAGGCTGCCATCCAACCACCAGCCACACCCCTGCAAGGAGCAGGAAGACGTGGGGGAACCCGCACGCCGCTGCCATCCGCTTTCCTGAGAGAAAGGGAAACCCTCGACCCGTACCACAGCACACCCAATAATGGATTCTTCCAGACTCCCTCCCCTTCACCACTGTAATAATGGATTCTGTGTGTATGTGTGTGTGCAGATGTGACAGAGACAGCAGAGTGGGGGAGGCCCATTTGTAGCTTAGGCTGACCTAAAACTTACTATGTAGCCCAGGCTGGCCTTGAACTCTTAGCAATTCCCATGCCTCAGCCTCCAAAGTACTGGGATAACAGGAAAGGTTATCATCTGGCCTGGCTCCTTCTCTTTCCCCAGGGCAGCCTGGCCAAACCCACTCATAGTGGGCTCCCACCGGGTCCCCTCCGGACTCACCCCAAAGTAGTTGCGTGGCACATAGCCCTCCTGGCCATGCAGCGCCGCCCACCACCAGTCGGTCTCCTCTGGCCCGTCCCTCCGAAGCACCGTGACCGACTCGCCCTCCCGGAAGGACAGCTCGTCCCCAAACTCGGCGCTGTAGTCCCAGAGCGCATACACGACGCCACTGTGCATCAGCCCCATGCTTTGCTCCACGTCTGGAAACATATGAAGAACGCGGCAGTCAGGCCAGGGCCCAGGAACAGAGCCACCCAGAGGACCAGCACGGCCCCTGCTGCAGCAGGCGTGAGCCACGGGGAAAGCTGCCCGCGCCTCTGCCTGTGGGGGGAGTGAGGGGCTCTGACATTAGAGGACTCTTGGTGTGTCAAAACGGCAAGCTACCTTCACTCAGAGCCAACAGATGGTGCTGTCTCCTTTTTGGGGGGGGTAAGATTTGCTTATTTATGCATTTTATGTAGATGGGTGTTTTTTTTTCTGGAGCTGGGGACCGAACCCAGGGCCTTGAGCTTGCTAGGCAAGCGCTCTACCACTGAGCTAAATCCCCAACCCATAGATGGGTGGTTTGTCTGCATGTACATCTGCACACCAGAAGAGGGCATCAGATGCCACGGAAGTACAGAGAGAGCCGGTTGTGAGCCGCCAGGGCAGTGCGGGGAACTGAACTCAATACTCTTAACTGCTGCAGGCAGTCTCCAGGCCCTCACCTCCCTCTTTAAAGATAGGCAGGGTCAAATGTAGCCCAGGCTGGCCTCAAAGTAGGCATACAGCCAAGGACGACCCTGAACTTTTGGTCTTTCTGGCTCCACCTCTCAAGCTGCGGTATTACAGGTGTGGCCCACCACAGCCAGTGTGTGCAGTACCGGGGATGTGAACCCAGAACCTCATCATGCTAGACAAGTACTCTACCAGCTGAGCTACACACACACACACACACACACACACCGCTTTTAAATGTATTTACTTTTTTATTTTACGTGTGTTGGTATTTTGCCTGCAGGTACGTCTGTACAGGAGTGTCATATGGAGTTGTAGACGGTTGCCATCCACACCCCACTCCCTTTTTTGAGACAGGTTCCTTCTAGAACTCCAGCTGGTCTCCGACTACAATCCTCCAGCCTTAGGAATGGGTCTGCATGCCTGGCCCCCATCCCCACCCCATACAATGTTAAATCCTTCGGCTCCTCGACCCCTAATGCCAACCTACGACACCATGAGAGAGGATGAGGATGCGCAAGCCTCTGGTGCAATCTATCTTGACCGTCCCCACTCACGCAATTCAGCCTGGTCGCTGGAGACACCTGATGTGAACGCAGCCATATCTACAAGTGTCCCAGCCTCTAAATGACTTCAAAGCAGTCTGGTCAGGGTGCCGTACTGCCCTTCCTTAGACCAGGCTAGCCTTCAGCTCACAGAGCTCTACCTGTCTCTGCCTCCCTAGCGCTGGGGTCACAAGTGTGCGGGGCCACGGCAGCGGGATGGTTTATTTGGCATCTCGACGGCTCGCCCCTGAGGTGGGATGCATGTGAGCTGTACAGCCTGCAGCTCCCAGGGCCCCGCCCAACAACATGCATCTGCCAAGAGGGTCGCCCAGCGCCCACCCTCCACCCGCACCTCAGGCACAGCCTCGCTCGCACCTGCCAGGTAGGTGGCGCAGTCCGCGTAGCCCTCTCGGTAAGGGTCGCACTTTTCGATGGCAGTGGCGCCGTCACTGAGCGTGGTGGCAAAGATGGCCGCGCCGTGCTGCACCAGTGCGGTACAGATGGCCGTGTCGTTACACGATGCCGCGCAATGCAGGGGTGTCCTGGCGGCAGAAGGGCGAGTGAGAGGGAGGTCCCAGCCCGCTGCGCCACCCTACCGCCAGTGCGCCAGTGCGCCAGTGCGCGCGCCAAGGCCCCTCCCACCTCCCAGCAGGGGCGCGTGGAGGACTCACCAGCCATGGCTATCAGGGGAGTTGACGTTGGCGCCCGCAGCGATGAGGAAGTCCACGATGGGGTAGTTGGCGCCGCAGATGGCATTGTGCAGAGCGGTGATGCCCTCCTCGTTGGGCTGGCTTGGGTCATTCATCTGGGAACAGGGAGAGGACGACTCAGCACCGCCCGTCACCTGGGCTCTCCTTATACTATCACCTGGGGTGCGGATGGGGGGACCACCTCACCTCCTTCACCGCCTGCTGCACCACGTCCAGCTCCCCAGTCAGCGCCGCGTCCAACAGCAGCACCAGTGGGTTGAGGCGCGCACGCCGGGCCTTGCGCGGGGAGCCCACTTTGCGGAGTACTGAGCGCATCTCCTGCAGGACAGGGCGGGGCTTCAGTGAGACTTGCCCACCCACATCTCAGTGGGAAAAACAGACCCAAGGCACACACCGGGTCAGGAGGATTCACACCGGGCAGCGAGGTGTGAGGGTGGGGAGGGCTGGCCATGCCCTTGTACATTCATTGTACATTGGTCCTTTACAACTACGAGGTCAGCCTATGACTTTGGAATCTGGAAGCCTGAGAGCTTAGAGCAAGCTAGGAAGGCATGGAGTCGGTGGTCTACAGCAATTACTTCTGCAAGACAGGTGTGGTAGTGCATGTCCATAATCTCAGCAGTTGTGTGGTTGAGGCAGGAGGATGGCAGTGAGTTCAAGGACAGCTTAGAACCAGGTGATGGCAGCACACACCTTTGATCCCAGCACTCGCCAGCCAGGCAGAGGAAGGAGGTTCTCTGTGAGTTTGAGGCCAGCTTGGTTTACAGAAAGAGATCCAGGACAGCCAGGGCTGCACAGAGAAACCCTGTCTTGAAAAATGAAGAGGAGGAGGAGGAGGAGGAGGAGGAGGAGGAAGAAGATCAAGATCCTCAAGGACAAACGTGGGCTATATAGTGAAACCTTTTTTTAAAACAAAACAAAACAAAGAAACAAAAAAAAAATTCTATGAAACCACTGTGATTGTTAATTTTGATTGACAACACCTCAAATCCCAGTACTCAGGGGGTAGAGGTAGGCAGATCTCTGTGAGTTTAAGGCCAGCCTGGTTCCAGGACAGCCCAGGCTACAAAGAGAAACCTTGTCTCATAAAACCAAAAAATAGCCAGGTGGTGGTGGTGGCTCACACCTTTAACCCCAGCACTTGGGAGGCAGAGGCAGGCGGATCTCTGTGAGTTCAAGGTCAGCCTGGGCTACAGAGTGAGTTCCAGGAAGGCTCCAAAGCTACACAGAGA